GATGCCACCCTCAGCCACTCCCCCGCGCCGGCCATTGCTAAGGACCACGACGACATCATGGGTGGCGAGGCCCTGTGCCACCCAGGCAGCCCGCACGTGTCTCCCTTGCCTACAGTGGGGGACCTTGAGGTTGACGCAGTGGCACTACCTAGCTCGGGGGGTCCATCACCGGCACCTACCCCCCAAGCTGGCACAGATCTCCTCCCAGCGGGATCTGAGGATGCTGGATCCCTACCACATGAGGACGCTGGATCCCTACCATAGGCCGCACCGGCCTCATTGACGCCCTTGGCGGGGGCAGTGGAGATGCATGCGGTTTGCAACCTCATCTCATCATCAACTGAAGAGCAAGCCGCACCACCTGTGACGCCGACTACGACCTATACAGAGGAGGTGACCATATCCGTGGACACTACTACCCTGGCAGTGGGAGAGATGGCACCTGCAGTTACGGTAGTGCCCATCAAAGCGCCGCGTCGAAGCTCCAGGAATGCGGCAACGGCGGACGTCCATACACTACACAAGGCTGAACGGCTGGCAGCTAAGAAGAACCTTGAATTCCTAGGTAACTCTTTCACTAGCTTTCCAGATTCCAAAGTCCTTTCAAACCTTGGTAGGGTAGGCATCAACCTAGGTACCTCAGATGTAGTTACAATAAAAAACTTAGAGGTAGACAGGTTAGTTTTATGTGCTAATACAAAGAAAGGTTATGCTAAATCTAAACTCTCCAATCTTGAGAGTGATGATGGGCGGGATGACCAAATTGATGCAATTCTCAGCCACGCCTGTGGAAATCTAAATGAGAATTTGCTGGAGGAGGAGAATGATCAAATCATAGATCTCTCTCCACTCCGACGGAAGAAAAAATATAATAATGCCAAGAATACAGTTAATGGCAAACTTCCCAAAAAGCCAAAGACCCCCTCAAAAATTATTATAAAATGAAGGGTGTTTTCTGAAATAGCAGAGGTCTTGGAGACTTGGCTAAGCACAGGTTTTTGGCTGAATTAGTGAAGGAAGAGCAAATTAATTTTATTACTCTATCCGAAACAGGACGGGACTCGTTCCCGGATCATGTTCTCAAAAATCTTTATGGGGGACATGATTTTCTTTGGCACACCATGGCACCCCACGGTAGGTCTGGGGGCATCCTTCTAGGTGTGGACTTGAATGTTTTTTACATTGGAGCCATTGCTGAGGGAGATTTTTATGTAAAATTCACCCTAAGAGTCAAATCAAATGACTTCAAATTTGTGCTATATATGGTATATGGACCAAAGACAACTACGAATAAAGAGTGCTTTCTTAGTAGAACTCGCCAACATGTGCTCCAAAGAAACTCTTCCATATTTGTTAGGAGGAGATTTCAACATAATGAGAGGCCCAGAAGATAAAAGTTCTGGGGACTTTGACCCTAAATGGCCAAATCTTTTTAATGCTATTATTGAATCTCTAGATCTTAAGGAGATTACAATGGCAGGCCGTCAATACACATGGGCGGGGCCAGGGGATAATCCAACCTTTGAGAAGTTAGATAGAGTTCTCGTTAGCACGGAATGGGAAATCATGTTCCCATTGACAACAAGAGAAACCTAGGGATATGAATATCTCTCGACCATACTCCCTATTTCTTAACACAGTGCTTCAACCCACCGCACCCACAATCGTCCTTTCAAATTTGAGAGGGATGGTTGATATGAGATGGATTTTATGATATGGTTGCAAATATCCGGCAATCTCCATGCTCGGTCAACCCCCTTGAACGTTAAGATTCAAGATCCACAGACTCACAATATCTAAGGGGTGGCGAAACACACACTAACGGTCATATCGAAAAGAAAAAAGACTCGCTAGCTCTTTTAGAGAATCTTGATAAGAAAGCTGAGATCTCTTCCTTATATGATCAAGAGATTAATCTGAAGCATTATCTAAAAGAACGTTTAGTTAACCTTCTGAGAGAGGAGGAACTAAAATGGTATGAGAGAGCCAAAGTTAAAACCCTCTTGGAAGGGGATGCTAACACTCGGTTCTTTCATCTAGTTGCCAACGGGAAACATCGCAAGCAACATATCTATAAACTTGAAAATGATCAAGGCGTTGTGATTGGTGATGATCATCTCAAAAGTCATATTACGACTTATTATAAAGAACTCTTTGGCCAGCCAGAGAATTTCGATATCTCCCTTAGGGAAGACCAAAACCTGGATATTCCACAGGTATCCTCGGAGGAAAACGACATCCTCATCAGTCTGTTCACTGAATCTGAAGTGAGGGAGGCGGTCTTCCAGATGGAGCGTAATAAAGCTCCAGGGCCGGATGGTTTTCCTGCGGAATTCTATCAGGTGTTTTGGGGAGTGATCAAGGATGATCTTCTACCATTATTTGCTGAGCTGCATAGGGAGGCTCTTGATCTCTATAGTCTTAACTTTGGTATTATTACCTTAATCCCAAAAGTGAATAATGCCATAAAAATTCAGCAATACAGGCCAATTTGTGTTCTTAACGTGAGTTTTAAAATATTCACTAAAGTGGGCACAAATAGGCTTAATATGGTAGCTAAAACTGTGGTGAGACCAACGCAGACTGCCTTTATGACAGGTAGGAACATAATGGAAGGAGTCGTTATCTTACACGAAACCATCCATGAACTTCACACCAAAAAGAGAGACGGTGTCATTTTCAAGATTGACTTTGAAAAGGCATACGACAAAGTGAAGTGGCCTTTCCTACAACAAACGCTACGAATGAAAGGTTTCTCCCCCAAATGGTGTCGATGGGTTGAAACTATGGTCACCGGAGGAAGTGTGGGAATCAAGGTCAATGATGATGTAGGACCCTATTTCCAGACCAAACGTGGACTCAGACAGGGAGATCCAATGTCACCAATCTTATTCAACATCGTTGCAGATATGCTAGCTCTACTTATTAACAGAGCAAAAGCCGATGGTCAGATAAGAGGTGTCGTCCCCCACCTTATAGACGATGGTCTGTCCATATTACAATATGCAAATGACACCATTATCTTTATTGATCACAACCCAGAACAAGCATAGAATCTGAAACTGTTGCTTTGCGCTTTTGAACATCTATCTGGGCTGAAGATCAACTTCCACAAGAGCGAAGTCTTCTGCTATGGTGCAGCTAAACAGATGGAATCCTTTTATACTAGTCTCTTTGGATGCAATGCAGGGGAATATCCCTTCAGATATCTAGGGATCCCAATGCACCATAGACAACTCCTGAATTCTGAATGGAGAAAGGTGGAAGATCGTTTCGAATAGAAACTCTCTTGTTGGAAAGCGAAATACCTGTCATATGGGGATAGACTAGTTCTGCTTAATTCAGTCTTAAGCAGCCTACCTATGTTTATGATGTCCTTCTTTGAGATCCCTAAGGGGGTCATTAAAAATCTGGATCATTATAGATCAAGGTTCTTTTGGCAAGGCTACTCAGATAAACATCGATATCGTCTTGCCAGATGGGACATCCTTTGCCGTCCTAAGGACCAAAAAGGATTAGGTATCCTAAATTTACAATTGCAAAATAAATGCCTTCTAGCCAAATGGCTGGTTAATCTGCTAAACTCAGAAGGCATATGGCAATCTCTTTTACGGAATAAATACTTAAGCTCCAAGAGCCTAACTCAGGTGGCAGCCAAACCCAATGACTCTCATTTCTGGAGAGGACTCATGCATATCAAAGATGAGGCGCTGGCTAATGGTTCATTCGATATTAAAGATAGAACCAACACTAGGTTTTGGGACGACACATGGGTAGGAGATAAGCCTCTGAAATTTAAATATCCATCCTTATATAATATAGTGCGGGATCCTCACACAACAGTCTCAAAAGTGATGACTACTAGCCCACTAAACATCTCTTTTAGAAGGGCTCTGGTGGATAATAAACTTGCAGAATGGCTTAGTTTAGTAGCACGGATCTCAAATGTCGAATTGGTGGAAGGTTCAGATTACTTCAGATAGAGTTTAACCAAATCTGGGTTATTCTCTGTCCGCTCTATGTATCTCTATCTTATAGATACACAAACACCTTTTCGTCATAGGAAGATCTGGAAGATAAAAATTCCTCTAAAAATTAAAATCTTTTTTTGGTTCTTGCAAAGGGGTGTCGTCTTAACCAAAGACAACCTCGCTAGAAAAAATTGGAAGGGGAGTCAGAAGTGCATCTGCTGTAATGGGAATGAAACTATCCAACACTTGTTCCTAGACTGTCCCCTTACCAAAATGATATGGAGGATTATCTTTTTTGCTACTAGTCTGACCCAACCAAGATCAATCAGCCACATGTTTGGTAATTGGCTAACTAATCAAAATAAAAGGATTAAAAATTTAATTTGGGTGGGGGTGGCTGCCATATTTTGGGCTATTTGGAGATGCCGTAATGATGTTGTTTTTAATCAAATGAGATCTAACTCTATGATGCAGGTAATTTTCAGAGGAGCGTACTGGTTACGCTCTTGGGCCCAACTGTAGCGTGATGAGATAGCCAAGGACGCGCTCTCTACGATGAGCAAGAAATTGGAAATAATTGCTTTAGAGATATCCAATAAAGGATGAAAATATTTATACTATTTGAATTAGCGTCCGGGTCAATCTATAAGACAGGCTCTCTCTTTTTCCTCCAAAACTTTGTAATAATGGGCTGTGTACATCTATGGATGTAGAGGCCGGATATTGTTTTATCCATTATCTAAAAAATGAAACCATTGGCCGTAATGATTTGCTTTAATCATTACAAAACATAACCTACTCCTCTATCGATTACAAAAAACAATCTACCACAAGACAGCTTCAATCTACTAGGCTTTCGATGACGTACAGCGGCCGGCTTGAGTCACCACCGTTCGTTTGCTACTTCGGAGCTGCTTCTCTGGTTTTCTTTATTAGCGACATAGTAGCCAACATGCATAAAGGATAAAGCAGCTAACATTCTGTGGGCGAACTTTGTAAACGGGAGCAACATGTGGTTCAATGTCTTCTCTACAGCCACGCGCGAATGAGAAACGGGAGGCGGCAAGGATTCCCAGGTACATCCTGGAGAAGGCCTGCCTTTTCATATGACTGGACGCTGTCTGAGAGCGTCGATTCCAGCTTCCTTGGTTCCCAACCCAGATCCCTCAGCTTCTGACTAGACAAAGGTGGTCCTGCATGATCAGCATCCACAACGCTGCAACAACAAATTAAAGGTGATGTTCATCACATCAGATTATGTAAGAAAGCAACATGGATTATATTACTACCTAGTTGGTACTGACGAATTCAATTAGACAGGACAAAGAGAACCTACTTATTTACGTAATCGTACTCTGGGTACATCTTCTTCAACAGGTCCACTAAATCCCTAGTGCAAACGCGATTCGGCGAGCAAATGTATCTCCCTGACGACTGATTCTTCTCGTACAACAGGAGCAGAGCATCGGCCACGTCGCGGACGTCTACTATCTCCCACATTCTGTTGGTCATCACATCAGGGCCTCCTGTAGTCCAACAGATCGATGGAGCTGTAGTTCAATCTTGGCATCTTGCTTGTACCTAGCAGTAACATGCATGCTATAGCACGTATATAACAGCATAACAAGACAATCGAACTAACTAAATAGTACGTATCATTTTATTTTATGAAATTTGTAGTGTTTTATAGCGTAGTACTAATCATTTTCCGAATACAGTATTTCACTAACACACTGGTTGTGCAAATAAAATGTGGACTAGTCACAATAATCCAAGCATAGAATTTGCCCTACAAGCAGTTTTGTTCATTGCTGTGCATTTTGAACCCTGCTATGTCAGCAGTGAATAAATTAATGAGAAAAATGTGAAGAGGATATTTCTCATTTAACAGCTCTAGGGCATAAACAAAAAAGTCAAAGCAACTGTTTCAAAGAGAACAGACGCCCACACAGATAGCAAAATCACGACATCCTCCTCTATGAAATGGCGCATGGGCAACATCTCGTAGATAACTAGCTTTTGTATATGCAGGATTGGTCATGGCTGCAATCTACTGCAGCAAGGCCAGTTGCTAACTTATTTCCCTTTTTCCTTTTCCTTTTTTAGCATCCTGAATTTCTTAGCAAGAGTGTAAAATTGTACTGTTTTTTTTCTCCACATCTACTTTAATGCAAAGGCAGTGCACCTGCCATTCCATGCTAAAAAAAACATGCATGAAGGACTAACACTGGGCAGGAAATATAATGGAACAACTGATCAACAGGTCCTGTATAGTCTCGAACTCAACCATTTGCGTCTAGCAAAATGAAAGTAGCACTATGAATATGATCTCATCTAAAGGCCTTGGGCTGGACCAAATGGATGCAATTAACAACATAGAGATGGAAACTGGATCAAAACACAACTTAACTAGTGGTTCAGCATATCAAGTCAGCACAGACAACTTGACTAGTAAGTAACAGAAAGTTTGTCAGTTGAGTCACAATCCTGGTAACAAAGAACAAGTGATAGATGTAATTGCAGCACTAATGATACAACCTTTTATAACATAGATGAGGAGTTTGCTGCTTGCATTCACTGAAGACTGCAACAATGGACCAAAAACAAAAGGAGGGCAAAGTGTAACAACATTTAGTCCGTTGTTACGTGCATATTCCAAGGCTTCTTGTTCAGCCAGAGTCTTGGCAAGGGAATACCAGTCCTGGCAGTAGAGATCCCATGTATTTTTAGTTCTCCACAAAAAAATATTGCTAAAAATGGATATGTATCACAAATTGCCTTTAAATTTTATAACTCTAAAAGGGAAACCAGCAAATGGAACAGGCAGACGTCTTCATCTACCAGCTTGTCTGCCTGTGCAACGTGCATTGTGATGTTTGTTTATTGCCGTGGCAGGTTGCAGTATTAAGGCGCTAGAATTCCTAACCTCCTTCTCCTTGCAGAACTCTGTGTCTGACCAGCAACTCTCGTCTTTGATTCTATCTTGAGGCCAATTCGGGTTGGAAGTAACAGCAGCATTGGAGGACATCACAACAACTTTGTGAACCTTCAGAGTTGAGCAAACCTTTAAAACATTTAAGGTGCCTTTCACAGCAGGGTCTAGTACATCGAGCTGCACATATATTAGCATATATAGTTATAATGTAAGAGCACTTGTAGCCCTCAAATAAATCTAAGTTTTGCACTTACATGTGTAGAAAATCCTAGTTAAGTTGTTGTGGAGAAAAGCCTAGTTTTGCAGGAACAATAACTTGAAGTTGAAATTTCTTCTCTACAATAGAAATGGGCACCGTCTTGTGCGGGTTCATAAAAAAGAAAAATTTGAAGTTGAAATTCAGTAATGGCCAGTCCTTCCACTTCTCTATGTGTGTGTGTGTGTGTGTGTGTGTGTGTGTTTAAATCATATATTAGCAAACAGACCAAATAATAGGAGTTTGGAAATGCATCCACCAAGAAGTAGCTAAACACATGCTGTTTGGATAAACATATTCCCCTCCCAACACATGTGGATTGGTGAACTAATTTCCACTCCATTCCCTCTCAATAGATATGAATTGGTAGGGATTATCATCATGTTTGGAAACGTTTATTTTTCTCTGAATGAATAATAGGCATGAGACGGTACCAATTTATATTATGAATGGGTCTACAGTAGTGCAATGCTAGCAAGCATTAGTGTGAAGACAGAGAAGAAATAAAAAGGCTTACGTCAGGATGAAGAATCTTATCTTCAGGCACCGGAGTGGCAAGATGGAAGACCCCCTGACATCCTTGAACCGCGGGTGTCAGAGTCTCGCAGTCCAGCACATCAGCCTTGAACAGATGCAGATTCTCTGGGGCTCCGTCCAGCTGCTTCAGATGGGCATTCTTTGGATCACCTGAAAGAGCATCAACAACTGATTAGTTAGCTCAGTCCAGTTTATGGCAGCATATGCATGTGAATAGATAGGTACATCAGTACATGGGTCACGGACAGTGGCATGGACGGCATAGCCACGGGCGAGGAGCAGCTTCACGAGCCAGGAGGCGATGAACCCGCCACCTCCAGTGACGCACACTCGTGGCAGCTGCGACGCCATCTCGACTCTGCACTGCACCCTTTCTTTCGTCGTTTCAGGGAGCGAACCAGCAAGCAGAGGAAGAGGCGCCGCGGGACAAGGGACTGGATGCAGAGGCTGCCGACGGCCGGCGGCGGGTAGGCACGGCTCTAGTGACTGAGCACGGCAAGTCGGCAATCGGGGACAGCTGCCGGATCTGAGCTTGGTCGCTCGCTCCGTGGTGGGGTTGGGCGGTTGGCAGTTGGCACTTGGCACTTGGGATTTGGCCATTTGGGAATCGAGACAAGACAAGCTAACCATGGGCTGACGCTGATCCCCTCTGCAGGGCAAGCCTGGGCCGCACACCTGTTACCCTTGGGACGTTCAAAAACATTCACAAGACGACAAGAGGATTTCTAGGTTTTCAAATAAGGAACCATTCACATGCACATCGATACGTGGCCTGATATTTATCATCCGCTTGCCATTTGGATTGCCATTTGGACTTTTTTAATAAATAGTATATTGCATGGCCGGTCCTTAAAGTATTGGACGGATTTCATCTGGGTCCCCAAACTACGAAATCGCACGTTTTGCTCCCTAATGTATTTAAGTGATCTTATCTAGGTTCAAAATAGGCACGAGGAGGGTGAAAAGTTGATGTGGTCGTCCATGTGGACATGATTTAACCTAGTCACCGCTGCCTCGATGACTAGAAATTGACCTTGCCGAGGTGGCGTTGACCGGTGACGTGGCGTATCCTAATTGGAGGGAAGGGTGCTGACTGGGCCGATCTTTTGACTTTGTCAATCTGGACCGTCGGTTTTGGATCGGGCGGTGTAAGTCGTCCTCCCCTGTAGTTGCGCAGGGGTGCTCCCCGGCGGCGTCCTCGTCGGAGTCGAAGCAGGACGGCGCTCTGGCGGTCGATGATCTCCGGCGAGTGGCGGAGCAGGAAGAGGAGGCCACAGCGAAGTCGTCTGCGACGATCTCGACGGCAGGGAGGTAGTGGGGAAGGGAATCGAGGCGGTAGGGCGGACAGTGGCTGTCTGGGAGCTCCGGTGAGGTCGGGGAGTGGAGTTGCCGGCTCGGATTGATGCCGTGGAGTGGTGTATAGGCCTCGGTGTGCATTTGCGGATCCAACGGAGGAGGAATCGAGTCTGGAGGTGAGTTGGGAAGGGAGATCGAGAGCTCGGCTACATGCTTGGTAATGGCGACGGCAACGGCGGATTCGAGCGCTGGAGCGAGAGAGAGGTCATAGGGAGGGGCGAGGCGGCACGACGCAGCAGCAGTAGCAGCAGGCGCATGGCCGAGCCGCTGCCACTCTCCCGTGGTCGCCTGCTGTAGGGTCGAGATGGCGGACTAGAGGGGGGGTGAATAGTCTTTTGTAAAATTAATCGCGTCGGCTAACCGAAACAAATACGGAAATACAACTATCGGTCTAGCCAAGACTACACCCCTCAATATATGTTCTATAGCACCTTGCAAAGATACTAATAAAGCAACTAAGGTGCCGGGCTAGCTAGAGCTCTCCTAAACAATTCTAGGAGCAAGGTCACACAAACCTATGCCACTAGTACTTTAAGTAACAAGGGGAGCTCCTACACATGCTAGTAAGCAAAAGCACAAAGCTAACTAAGCTCACTAGCAATGCTCAATAACAAGGCAACCAATGCCTAATTAGAGAGCGTAAATACTTAGCTACACAAACTAAGCAATGTGACTAACAAGGTTACTAAAACCAAATTAGCCACGCAAGGGAGCTACTTCTATGCTACACAAGCAAGAAGGTAATTAGCTAGCTACACAAGCTATCTAATTATAAAAGCAACTACACAAGCTTAAGATATATAAAAGTAATTGCAAGCTTGTGTAATGAGGATGCAAACCAACGGGAAGAACAAGGTTGACACGATGATTTTTCTCCCGAGGTTCACGTGTTTGCCAACACGCTAGTCCCCGTTGTGTCGACCGCTCACTTGGTGGTTCGGCGGCTAATTAGCATCACCCGCTAAGCCCGCACGTCGGGCACCGCAAGAACCTACCCCTTGAGTGAGGGTAGCTCAATGATACGCTTTACTAAAGTTGCTCTTCGCGACTCCCGCGGGGCGAGCACAAGTACCCCTCACAAGCACTTCTCCGGAGCGCCGCACAAGCTTCTTGCGGGCTTCGACGGAGACCACCACCAAGCCGTCTAGGAGGTGGCAACCTCCAAGAGTAACAAGCACCACCAGCTTGCAACACGACCACCTAGTGCCACTCGATGCAACCTCACGATGTAATCGCACTAGAATCGCTCACTCACACAATCGAATGATCACTATCAAGTATATGTGTGATGGAGGGCTCCCAAGCACTCACAAGCATGGACACTAAGTCCCCCAAGGTGCTCAAGACCAGCCATGGCCGAGGGCCACTTCTATTTATAGCCCCAAGGGCTAAACTAGCCGTTACCCCTTCACTGGGCAAAAGTCGGGCTGACCGGATGCTGGACCTCAGCGTCCGCTTGTTCGCAGACGGCCACGCGTCCCGATCCCAACGGTCACTTGACCTGACCGGACGCAGCGGTAAAACTGACCGGACGCTGAAGCCCCAGCGTCCGGTCGTTTCCAGTAAGCTCCCCGAGGCATATTTTCTCGACTGGACGCGTCCGGTCCACCTTGACCGGACACAGACCAGCGTCCGGTGCAATACCCTCGGTACAGTGCAGACCCGTCAGTTTGACCGTACGTAGCCTTTCAGCGTTCGGTCGCTACATGACCCAGCGTCCGGTCAGTAGACCGACGCCAGCATCTTCGCGATCAACTCGTTTTCACTTCTAACTTCTTCACCCTTGCTCCAATGTGCCAACCACAAGAATTTACATCCGGCGCAATAGAAAATAGGCATTCCATTTTCCCGAAAGCGCAATAGAAAATAGGCATTCCACAAGAGAGGGACCCAAACCCATCTCAACCCTGCAAACACCACCTCCTTTGTAAATGTGCCAACACCACCAAGTGTACACCACCATGTGTATGTGTGTTAGCTTTTCACAATCATTTCCCAAAGGATGTTAGCCACTCAACTTGCCACACCACTCGATCCTAGCGACGATGCAAAGTTAGATCACTCGAGTGGCACTAGATGACCGATATGCAAACAAGTTTGCCCCTCTTGATAGTACGGCCATCTATCCTACACCCAGTCATATACTTCTCTACACACCTATGACCGGTGAAATAAAATGCCCTAGGTTATACCTTTGCCTTGCGTATTCCATTCCATCTCCTCCAATGTCGATGCAACACATGCACCAACATGATCAACAATGATATGATCCACTTCATATCATCACGTGATCATATTGGTTCATCGATCTTGACTTCACTTGCTCTTCACCGTTGCCATCGTTCATCGGCGCCAAGTCTTGCTCAAGCTTCACCGCCACGCGGTCCATCACTCCAAAGCCTTCGACTTGCCCTTCACACTTGCAACCGGTCCATCAAGCCAAGTCTTATCTTGATCTTCTCCACCTTAATCACATGACTCAATGTCATGTCTCATGTGCATTAAGATCCTTCATCATCACATGTGTGAACTTTGCAACATCTCTAAGCCATTTTCACCTTCATGGCATATGTTGCTCACACACATGTACCTATGGACTAATTACCTGTGTATCTCACATAAACACAATTAGTTCACCTAGGTTGTCACTCAATTACCAAAACCAAACAAGGACCTTTCACCTGCCCCGATGCGACGCTAAGGCCCGCGGCCCGCACGCTCGCCTGCCCCCAACATGATGGCGTGGCCATAGCCCCCCGCGCTCTTGCATGCTGGCGACAGCTAGAGCTGGAAGATGGGGCTAACGACACATGGGCCGCCCTGGCAGTGACTGGGCTGCCTGCAAGATCCTGGCCATGCACGCCACGGCTTAGAGTTTTGTGCTTAAATCATGTCCACATGGACGACCACGTCAGCTTCTAACCCTCCTCGTGTCTATTTTGGACCTAGATGAGACCAATTAAATACATTAGGGAGTAAAACGTGCGATTTCGTAGTTTGGGGACCCAGATGAAATCCGTCCAATACTTTAAGGATCGGCCGTGCAATTTACTCATTAACAAATATATAAGAGAGCGAGGAAATGGGACATATATTTGTATGGGCGTGGCTAACGCCCGGACGTCTGGGCGCCTGAGCCGCCCGCCTCCGTCTGCCTCGCTCCGACTCGCACGCGCACTCTGCCCTCAACGTTGCGCTCTCTGCTCCTCGTGTCCGAACGGCCGCGTAGCCCGCCTCCATGGGCGGGACTCGGGAGCCGACCCCCAGCTTGTTGCGCCCTTGCCCGCCGGCCCCAGATCACCGCGCCCCATCCCACATTGCTCGGGCCGTGCACCCATCACTAATCGTGCCCTATGAAACACTTGTAACATGAAACACTTGGATGCATCACATGTATGATGCAGATAAAACATTTGAAACATACTGTTGTAATATGTGTGAAACATATGCAACATCCAGATAAACACTTGCAACATGCGTGTGAAACATATGCAACATCAAGATAAACACTTGCAACATATGTGTGAAACATACGCAATATCCAGATAAAACACTTGCTGCAATATATATCTAAAAACAGATGAAACATTTTGAACAAATGCTTGCAACATACCTTTGAAAACACTTGCAAAAATATGCAACATGTGCAACATCCTAATCTACTTTTACAACATCCATATGTAAGAATTGCAACATACCTCTGAAACATCTGAAACACTTCGAACATATATTTGCAACATAGGAGAGGGAAGGCCGGGGCCGGTCGATTCCAGTCATCGGGGTGGGATCTAACGGCGAGCGGCGGCGAGCGAGCCCACCACCACCACCACCGACCTTGGCTACGGGAGGGAGCGGACGGCAGCAGCGCACGGCCAAAGCGAGAAGTGAGGTGCGGGTGGGCGCGCGTGGGCGGAGAGAGAGAGTGAGGAGCGAGCGGCGCAGGTGGGGCGTGCGACGGGTGAGAGCGAGGTGCAAGCGAGCAAGTGGCATAGGGTGGAGGCGCGGTGGGAGAAGGCTGCAACAACGAGCGGAGTGAGGCGCGGTGTCCGGATAGGACGGATGCCCGCGGATAAGCATTACCGTATATGTATAACGATATCAGTAATAATTTGTCGCTATCTCAGGTAGGTATTTTTAATATGCTTAGAAACAAAAATGGTTATGATACTATGCACTATGAAAATACACTACTCTATATAGCCTCTGTAACTAATAGGACATGGCTACATCATGTGCAAGATCTATCTGGGAGTAAAAGGTCATCAAAGTCCACCATTCGGTACGACGGCAGCTAGATAGTACTATATTGGAAAGGACATAGCTATTACACTCAGTGCGATTGAGACCAATGTGTATTTGATGGAAGGAGTATTTGATAAACTTTCAAATGGATATGGTTCCACCTCAATATCACGATAGAAAGAGCTCTAAATCATAATTACATGTTGTTTCTACTTGACACCGCATCACCTTATATCATGCCTTGAACTTTGTAATAACTCTTATAACCTTAACCCAAGTTGGAACACGCTCCAACCAAGTGAAGAACACTCCAGAAAAGGCCCCGCTCCCATTCGCCACCTCTTATAATGCGACTGTGGGCATCCAAGCCAAGTTGAAGACCTAATCATATCAAGTTTGAATTCATCTTGGACTTTAAGAGTAGCCCACATTAAAATCATCGTCCAGGCTGCATACGAAATCTGTTTTCGACTTTCTACGTATACATAGAAAGGTGAGGAGATAAGTTTTTCAATATTGATACCAGTCCCACATCCAAATTCCTTATGAGTCCACGGGAATCATTGAATCAAATGAACATATAAGACCTGTTAGGGTGCTACGTCGCTGTCTTTTAGACTATGCATCATGTCGAACGTCGGAGTTAGGGACACGTCTGGGGTACTTGGCCATCCCTAATATTATATATTTATCGCCAGCGCTTAAGTTAGGGTTTGGATTTTTAGTAGATTATAATCTGTCATCGAGCCGGTTCATGTTCAGTGGTTTGTCGTACCTGAACTTGTAAGCTCAATCTATATTAGCAGTATCTCAGGTTGTGCTCTTTTTTATTCTTGCTTATGTTGTTCAATTTATAATCAGAGATTAGTCTTTGTGATGAGATCAACCATGTAGTGCATGGTTGATAACTAAAGAAGATATGATTACAGAGTTCGGATCATTGTGGTCGAAAACTACGAACCGTGGGTCAAGCTTTCACCGAATCAGAAGTTACCTCGATCTGACGGAATATCGTGTTCCCATAAGAGTTTTAGAACAATGGTAATGTTACAACAATCTGCCATGCCGAAGCCATATCACGCCCCGAAGAGTGTGACTGTAGTTGCAACAGAGGCGATGATATATTGCAGTACAATTTTCTACTAGCACATAACGGTAGGCATACTCCTGCAACAAGCACCACATCTACACACACGAAACAGTAGTGGGGCTAGTGGGGCTAATTTGCGAGCGTGCCGCAGTCGTAGTCCGCCATTTTCAGTAGCCTTCGTGCGAGCACTCCCGACAGGAACCTGTCCCGCAGGAAGCTGACGACGGCGCTGTCACTCTGCTGGATGAAGCCCACGGCGTAGGCGGTCGCGACGAGCTCGACGCTCCTCCACCGCCTGATCCAAGCGTACTCGCGCAAGGCCGCCTCGACCCGCTCCTCATCCTTGCCCTTGGCAGCAGGCAGCAGCAGGGCGTCCCCGAGGCATCGGGCAAGAACGACGCCGTCCTCCAGCGCCGAGCAGCCGCCCTGGCCGAGGTCCGGCGTCATCGGGTGCAGCGCGTCGCCGGCCACGCAAACGTTGCCCCTGGCGATGCTCGCGGTGGCCAGCGAGAGCGGCGACCGGAACCGCAGCGGCGCGGCGAGGACGTCGCTCATCTCGCTCCTGTCGATCACCGCCAGCGCCTCCGCGGGCACCTTGGAGCCCCGGAGCTTGGACAGCACGAACTGCTTCATCTTCGCCGCGCTCTCGTCGACGCCCTTGTCTGAACGAACAACATGAGATACAAATTATTAGCTGCTACTCCTAGCCATGCATATACAATTTTGATGTGGGCAATGGGCATCGTCGTCGCGGCGTCGCCATGGATGAGGATGACAAGCTAGCTCACCGTTCTCGGAAGGAGTCCAGGTGAAGAACCAGTAGATTTCGTTCTCGTTGCAGGGCAGCATGCCGGAGCGGAAGCCGTTGCCGATGAACTGCAGGAACTTGGGATCGAAGCAGTGGCCGTCCGGGTAATGCGCAAAGCCTCTCGCCGCCGAGCGCCCCGAGTAGGACGGCGTGGCGAGGCCGAGCCATTTGGCCACCACCGAGTTGATCCCGTCGCACCCGACGAGCACCTGCAGATAGATGCAGAGGAACGCCTTGAGGCGCTGCAAGCAGCTCGGAGGTGCTTAGGGGAAATTAAAGAAACTGTACCTTTGCTCTGATGACTGAACTGTCAGCTAGCTGCAGCACCTTGACGCCGCCGTCCTCCTCGATGGACACGATCCTGGAGGAGTAGCGGATGGTGCCTCTCGGTAGCTCCTCCTCCAAGGCCTGCAGCAGCAAGTCCCGCCTAACGCAACGGATTTCGTTGGGCCCTCTGCGTCAGACAGACAAACAGAGACGACGTTCATTCATTTCAGCGCAATCGAGGCAGATACGTGCGTGATCGATAGATTCAGGGGCCAGAGGTTAATTTTTTCATCTCACCGTTTCCCCTGCTGCGTGAGGTCCACCTCCTGTGCGATTTCTCCGGTAGAAGAAGCCATGACACGTAGCCTGAAAACATATGGACAGGTTCAGCAGGGAAACTGACTGCAAACTGCAACGCGAGCCCGGTGGACATGGAAATTGGAGACGTACGTCTGTGCCTGCAGGTGCTGCCTCCGGATCTTGTCGCCCACGCCGAGGGCGTCCAGCGCCCGGAAGGCGTTCTTCCACGTGGTGAAGGCGAACCCCGACGCCCGCAGCGACGGCGACGACTCCAGCACCAGGCTGCTCACCCCTTTCCTATACGACGATGTGGGAAAAATAATCCCAGATCGAGGTCAATTTTAATTTTGCGGCAGAGCAAGGCTACGTGTGTGCGAGAGAGAGTGTATACCTGTGTAGTCCGAGAGCCGCCGCGAGGCCGGCCAGTCCGGCGCCCACGATGACGACGTCCTCGGCAGCCTCCATCGGCTGCACTGCACGCTTGCAACGGCGGCGCAGCTTCTGCTCCTGACTGCAGTGGAAGAAACGGATGGCTGTGCTAGCTTGCTAGCTGGGATGGGAGCCTCGGATTAGTGGCGTGGCTTGGCCTAGTGACTACTGACCGAGTTGAATGGTGGATCAAGCAAGAACACTTTCTTGGCACGAGAATGAAGAGGTCCGGATGCGTGGTTATATAGAGAGATAGGGAGGCGAGCAAAGTGCTTGAAGTGGAGAGTGAAGTGTGAAGCTTAAGCCGGAGGAATCGCCACCGGCGTCACTGCTGATGCTGTGTCGACTGGCTGGTTTCGTGGTGTACGCCAGCGCAGGGCTGCTAATAATCTTCGTGTTCCTGATGCACAAGTGAAGCTGGATGCGCTTTCTGTTAGTTGATCTCCACTAATAGGTCCAACGGTCTATTGGACCCTTATCTCTGCTCCTTGATCGGGGGAGCCCAACCCTAATCCGGTTGGTGGGCCCCTGTCGCACAGCACACATAAAAGGAAAGTGGGGGTGAGGGCTCGGACTATGAGTTCAACGGAGCCGCCACCCACCTACAGAGAAACCCTAAACCGATCTAAAGACCGTGCTGCCAGCAACGGGATGTGCCCCACCACCACCGTCGCGCCTGCAGGTTCACCGCCGTCGCCCCACTGTATCGCCACCTCGCCTCCTCACTAGCACGCCGAGCACTGGCGTCCGCGAGGCTACATCTAGGGCGGCATCGGCGTCCACGCTGCCGCTGCGGTGAAGCTCCGCAAGGTCGAGGAGCCTAACTACGGATCTACGGGTTACACACAGAGGTACACACATCGATCCTAACAATGGTATCAGAGCCGGTTGCCTCTGTGTAATCCTAACCCTAACCGGGTAAAAGCAAAGAAAAGAGTGACCGGGGTGGCGGACATCACGTTCTACCGGTCATCACCGCCACCGCGCGTGGGGGAAAGATGCCGCACCGTTCGACGGCGCACGACAAGAGAATAGAACCGAACACTTCCTTTCGGATCTGATTCCCTAACCCTAACCCTAACTGGTTTAAAGAAAGGGGGAAAAGAAAAGGTTTCGGCCTTAAGATGAACAGAGCCGAACCCTAAATCCGAAAAGAAAAGAAATCAATTGAAAACCCGAACCCTAACCCTAGATCTCGATTTCTGATGAACAATGAAACGAAAAGAGAGAAGATCAATCCAAATCGAAAAGAACAAGGGGAAGAAGGGAAGGGCTGCCGCCTCGCCGGCGTATGAAGATGAACAGTGAAACCCCATCCCGAACCCTAACCCTAATTTTGACCCCAACCCCACCACGGGTTAATCCCAGAAGAGAAAAGGGGACGGGAAAGAAGGAAAAAAAGGGGGACGGATCTACCTCGCTGTGCGGCGGGAGAAGAAGAGCCGAACCGGCCCTTCACCGGCGCGGGAGAAGAAGAGCCGAGCCGGCCCTTCGCCGGCGCGGGAGAAGAAGAGCGAGGCCAAAAGGGGGCCGCGGCCAGGCCGCTCGACGGCGGCGCGCTCACCCGCTGGGGAGCGCGCACGCCGGCGAGGGGGCCGGCGACGACGCCGGGGCTCGCTGCTCCACTGCTCTGCCTTGCTTGCTCTCGGTTCGCCGCTCGGTGCTCGCTGCGCTGAGAAGAAAGAACGAGGCGAAGAGAGAGAAGAGGGAGGGGCGAATGAGATAGGGTTTCAGGAGAGCGGCGCCGGTCGCCGTTTTTGTTCGCCCGAGAACCACGAGCAGCCGTCGGATCTGATCCAACGGCGCCGGTTGATCGGGCCGCTCTCGGCCCTGGCGGGTGAGGGCACACCGGGCTGCTTTGCTGGCCCAGGGCCAGGTTGCGGCCTGGGTCCGCGCGGCGCACGCGCGCGAGAGTGAGAAAGAATGATGGGCCAGGCCACTGTGGTAGTTCCAGCCCAATCAAAGAACAGTGAGAAATTGTTTTTTTTTCATTTTCCAGTAAATAAGTTTTTATTTCCTAAAAAATGAATGAATGGCTCAAAAGAAAATAGAAAAGTTAATTTTTCCCTATGGGTAAAATTCAAGAAATTGAGTGAAAGTTTTTTCGCTGCTAAAGAAATTGTTTATTCTCCAGTTAATTTGTACCAACGTGGTATTTAATTGGAGAAAAAGAGATTTTTTCCACTGCTAAAGAAAATGTTGATTCTCCAGTTATTTTAAATCAATGTGGTATTTAATTGGAGAAAAAGAGTTTAGATATGATTATGATGTTGTTGTTTTCTGACTAACGTTGTTAATAACAATATCGTAATGTTAATGATTTATGTATTAATTCTACTTCTGTCCAACGGTGATGTAGAATTAGTGTATAAGAACAGATGTTAATTTTAATGATTTATGCATTAATTCTACTTCTGCCCAACGGTGATGTAGAATTAGTGTGTAAGAACAGTTGTGAAAGTTAAAGATTTATGCATTAATTCTATTTCTGCCCAACGGTGATGTAGAATTAGTGTATAAGAATAATTGTATGTTTTGATTTTGACCAACGTTGGAATCAAGGCATGCAAATGGTGTTATTTTTATGTTAAGAAAAGTTTTGACCTGGTTTTCATCTTATCTAAGGTGGACTGGGTAGTCACCTCACCGTGTTCCACTGAGATTGTGGCACCGGTGAGGGAGACAAAAGAGAATGATGCCACTTGGGCAACTAAAGAAAGGGATTTTGAATCCCAAAAGATATCCTATGGCTTTTGAGCATAGGAAGTGGGTCACTACAAACAAGAAATATTTGACGGTGATAAAGAACATGATTGAACCTGCAATTGTGGGCTCAATCCCAGAATGTGACACGGTCACCGAATACCTCGATAGAATAAAGAGTCAGTTTAGTGGCTCTTCAAATACATATGCCACTTAGCTGATAAAGCAGTTGGTCACAGAGTGTTAATCTGGAAAAGGTGGCATAAGAGAGCTCACGATGCGTTGTCGAAATTATGGCACTGTCGTTTATGCCATATTTCGAGGAGGAGAATAGAAAGACAAGTTAAGAATGATATTCTTCCTCCATTAGAGCTCTCAGATTAAGTTCAATGCAGAGAATGCATAAAAGAAAAGTATATAAAGAAGATTAAGAAAGATGACAAAAGAAGCGCAGGAATTTTACAGATTATTCACACAGACATCTGTGATCAGCTTTCCTGTAAAGAGTGTGGATGGTTATGTTTCGTTCATAACATTCACAGATGATTACTCCCATTACGGCTATATTTATCCAATCAAAGAAAGAAAAAAAGTATTGATAAATTTAAGATATTAAAGATTGAGATAGTCAAGTCTGACCGTGAGGGAGTACTACGGTCGGCATACCCTAAAAGAATGGCATAGTAGCCTAGTATTCTACACTGGGTGAACCTCAGCAGAATAGAATAGCTAAAAGAATCAATCGTACCCTGATGGATATGGTGGGCAGTATGATAAGTTACTCCACCTTACAGTTGAGCCTATGGATGGAGACGTTGAAAATGACCATTCATATTCTCAATGAAGTATCAAGAAAGTCGATGCCTAAAACACCGTATGAGTTGTGGACAGAAAAAGTGCTCTCACTAAACCACTTGCGTGTGTGTGGGGAGAGCCTTGCTGAGGCTAAAGTATTTAACCCAAACATTAAGAAGTTAGATCCCAAAACAGTAAGTTGCCATTTCATTGGCTACACAGAAAAATCAAAAGGTTTTCGTTTTCTACTGTCCAGAGAGACATACAAAGTTTGTGGAAACGAGACACGCTGTCTTCCTAGAGGATGAATTGATGAGGGGGAGCATGGTAGCTTGAGAAATTGACCTTGAAGTGAAGCGGGTGTATACGCCCACTCCAATGATTCATGAGCTATTTTTCTCACTACCTGCTGTGCTGCACCGATAGTGCTAGATACTGTGGTGCCAGCACCTGTTGTTATCCCACCTGTGGCAACAATGAATGACGATGAGGAACCTGTTTTTCAGGATCCTATAGAACCTATTGCCACACATGAGGGGGAGCAACAACAGCCTCAAACAGAAGATGTGCCAAAAGTGGAGGCCCCTAGAAGGTCTTAAAGAGTTAGAAAATCAGCTATTCCTGCTGATTATGAAGTGTACAACACTGAGGAATTTCAAATGGAGGTTGATCCCACCTCATTTGAAGAAGCCATGAGAAGTGATCATTCATCAAAGTGGCTTGAGGCTATAGAAAATGAAATGAAATCAATGAATGCCAATAAAGTTTGGGACTTGGAAATAATTCCTAAAGGAGCCAAAACAATAGGCTGTAAATGGGTCTATAGAATAAAACTTGGCTCTCAAGGGAATATAGAGAAATATAAAGCGCGACTTGTGGCAAAAGGCTATATGCAAAGAGAAGGGATTAGTGGCACATTACGATTGAGAATTACATCAGATGGATGTAAAGACGACATTTCTCAATAGAGACTTGGAAAAAAATGTTTACATGGCACAACCGAAAGGTTTTGTTATGCAAGGAAAAGAACGAACGGGATGTCGTCTAAAGAAATTCATTCATGGATTAAAACAAGCTTCAAGACAGTGTTACTTGAAATTTGATCAGACAATAAATGATTTTGGGTTTTAAAGAGAATGTAGAGGACAATTGTGTCTATACAAAGTAAAGATAATGTAGAGGACAATTGTGTCAATATAAAGTTTAAGAATGAGAAGTTTATCTTTCTTGTCCTGTATGTAGATGATATCTTACTTGCTAGTAGTGATGTCAGTCTACTACTGTAAACAAAGAAATTTGATATGAAACATCTTGGCGAAGCCTCATTCGTTCTAGGGATCGAGATTCACCGAGATAGAAGAAAAAGGGTATGAGGACTGTCACAAAAGGTATACATGGAAAATATGTTAAAGAAATTCAGTATGCACAAATATAGTCCCTCACCTGCTCCTATAGTCAAGGGCGACAGATATGGGGATTTTCAATGCCCCAGGAACCAATATGAGCTCAATCGATAAAGTGAAAGTGGTTCCATATGC